TTAGTAGTTCACTTTAACTACTTTGTCTGAGTAACGTCTACTCAAATTACAAATTACTTTCGAATTCTATTTGTTGTTTCGCCTATCAACAAACATTCCTGCACAAAAGAGATACGATGTTGAAAGATCAGCTGATATTTGCAAAGAGGGTAAAGTATTTTCCCGAGACCTCCCCCCCCCCCCCCCCCCCCCCCCTGCAGCAACACTGCTACAAAGCGCGGGGAGCGAACAGGCACGACGCAAGAGAGGCCGAGTAACTGTGGGTTTAGCGCCGAGGACTGGCGTCTCTTGGTGTCCCGAAGCTCAAGGAGACTTGACTCATTCGAAGAAAGGGCTGGTTTTCGCTTCTCTCCAACGTCGAAACTCTCGCCCACTTCAGGAGGTAGACATACTGCATCCTCACTCAAAGGAGGCAACAAAGTGCAGCACCTGCTCTGAAGCCACGGTGTAGGAAGGCTCTTTAGGTGTGGAGACTCCTCTCCTCGCTCCATCCGAACGGCGAACACATCACGTCCCCTCCTTTCCTATGTTTTCTCCGCCTGTCCCTAGGGGGCGCCAAAACGCTTTGGCCGTCCGGTCCCCGGCCCTCCGCCGGAACGTGGGCTAAGTCACCCATTGCTTACGCTGCCCCTAATTGTTTCCAAATTAAAAAAAAAAAAATTCAATGGTGAACTGAGCATAAAAGAAATGTAAAAACAAAAGATCCAAAGCCAAACATTTGATTGAATGCGCCGACTGCTCTCCAGCCTGGGGAAACGTAAACATTTTAGAAAGGGAAAATAACGACATGAACATATTAGTAAAAGAGACGATCAGGATAAAGACGTCTGCCGAATGGATCCGTCACATGCTCGGTCGTTGTTCTCCAAATCGAAGGAGCCTCGTAGGGGATTGTCTTGCATGCGGTAGACGCAGACACAACAAACTGCCCATCTGTTCAGGGTAGGATTCTGTCTGGCGTTCTCGTGGAATGCAGACGCCTCCGTGGAAGGCAGACGCTTCTCCGGTTTCAGTCGAACGTGCAAAAGGGTTCGGATCGCATGAAAATGTGACAGGACTGCAAAGGAAAAAAACGAGATGCAAAGGAAAAAAACTCCAAAAGCAGCTATCGAGTGTGCCATACATTAAACAATGTTTTAACCGCGGTTTTTTTACAGCGTTCTTTTTACAGCAATTTTTTTTAAAAGTTTGTGATGATATTAATATTATCCTTGTATCAGAAGTGTCATTAATAAAACCTGTTTGCTTTACTGGACGAGTGTGGTCACTATAAACATTTGCTGCAATCTGCTACATGCAAATGTAAGTGTACTAAGAAAGTGAACCTTTCAAAGAGTGCTGCTTTTATTAACCTCTGCTTGCAAAATGTGTAACTTCGTGCCGATTCGGCCCGCAGTTCAATTTAGCAGGACTCAAAGGCTGCCTTAAAATGTAAAAGAATAATCGCCTTAGCTGCCCCACATGTTGAAAAAACTTTTTTTGTTTTTTTAATAGTCCAGTCGAATCAACGGTAATTTGCGAACCCGATTTATATATATATATATATATATATATATATATATATATATATATATATATATATCGGGTTATATATAAATATATATATATATATAAATATATTTATATATATTTAGAAAAGTCATGTGAACGGTGCTTAAAGCAATTCAGTTCCTTATTATCCGTTAACAAGGTTTGTGTTAATCATTCTTTCTTTTTGTGCATTCTTTTTTTCTTTCGGTCGCACTCAAGTTATCGTTTACCTGCGCTACAATCAGAGTTTATTCATTTTCCAAACGCTTCCGGACGTTACTATTGCGCTACTGAGGAAACAAACGACGGAATGTAAGCTAGTCCAGAAATTATCTACAGGAGAGGGATATTTCTTTTTTACTCGTAAACCGCCGCGTAGGCTCGTATTACGGAGTTACTCTTGTTTGTCCGTCTGCCATTTTTTGGGTTATGAAAACTTCAGTGTGCTGAGAGAGATAATAGTTGAATGGCCCCACCTACATACCACATCGTACGCGAACCCGTAGGCACCGGCAAGCAAGCTGCACGCTGAGCAGGCAGCTAGCACAGGCGGCCCGGTGCGCTGCCGGATGGCCTGAAACTTACGGTGCCATCTGGGGCGCCTCCGTGAAGCCAAGCGCGCGGGGTGTCATTATCTGGTCGCGGCGGAGAGCGGACTCTCCACACCTAAAGAGCCTTCCTACACCGTGTCTGAAGATCATCTAAAGCTCCTGTAGTTTGTACTGTACTCGAAGCATCGAGTGCTAAACGGAGATGCAAAGGGGACCTTTTTGCCCGTTGCCTTTTCTTCCAAAACATAGAATATGCAGATCTTCAACGATTTGAAGATCGTTCGAGAAACCTTAATAATTTCTCCAACGTTTTTATGTAAAAAAAAGAAACAATGAACAAGCAATGTTGGGAAGTTCTCCAAGTACATGGTACTTCAAGTACTACTGTTTAGAAAACTTGTACTTTACTTGAAGTACATTCTCTGAGCATGTACTTGTACTTTCAGAGGAAAGTAAAACTCCCGACTTCAATATACATTCCCCGAATTTGAAAACAACAACAAAAAATGGCGTATTGTCGTATGAAAACACGGTCTTTCAAGACGTGATCTGGTCATTTTTCTGAGTGAAGTAATGGCGGCTATAAGACCGACACAAATAAGTAGCTTATAAGTTCATTGTGTGAAATAGGTCGTCAGCAAGTGTAAAACAACTACTCAGTGGCGACTAGACTTTATACAATATTTGCTGCCATTTTCGTATTAAATTAATGCACCTCCGATTACCTCTGGAGCAATGCGTACCAGTTATAAACGCTCCATAGGAAATGAAAGGGCATCATGAAAGATTCTGTTAACAGTACTGGTACTTTACCTTGAAATATATTGTATTTGTAATATGTTACTTGTAGTACATTGCATCCCGTGTAGTTATTACTTTACTTGAAGTACATAACCTCTAATCTAAGGAGTACTTTAGTTCAAGTACTCCTTAGATGTAGTTTACTCAAGACCGTAAACAAGCATACGGTGTCTGAAAATCAAGCTCAGGCAGTGGTAAACCTCAAAGTAGAATTGAAATATTTGCTGTACATCATTGACCAAACAACCAAGAAAGTGCAAACCAATTAGGCGCGCAGAAGCAGAACCAGCTATTAAGTCATTTCTTTGAAAAAAAACAATGTGATCCATATTTGGCTAGCACATTTTCGCTAACAGATCAAAACCTATCTACTTTCTTTGTACCATAATAAAAAAAACATATAAAAGGGATTTCAAATTATCTTCAAAAGTAATTCGCTACTTTTTGATGGTAATTAGTAATTTTCTGAATTATTTTTCATTTGAGTATTTTCTACTTTCATTTTATTTGTTTATTTATTTATTTATTTACAATACTGAAAGCCTTTTCGGGCTGTTTCAGAAGTGTACAGCAATAAAACAACAGAAATACAGAACCAAAGATCAAGAACAATCACCGCAATACAATAATTTGAGTACAATTTCGGTTGAACCACACCACCGAAAGTCACCACCACCAAGGAATACTAGTATGGCTCTGCATATAAATCAAATAATACAGCTTCAAACTTATCGGCACTGCCAATCCCAACTGTACTCAAATTACCTTTGAGGTCAAAACTAAGTAACTTAATTCTTTTTTTATTGAGTAACTTGTACATGCCTGGTGCGCTCTCTGTTGCCCTTTGCCCAATGGGAGCGTAGTGTGTGTTGACATCGGTATGATGGATCATCCAAAAGTCCCGCGGCTTTTGTGTTTTTTTTTCACTAGCAAAAGGTTAGTTGCTAGTCAGGGCCAGGTCTGTTTGCCAAACAACTATTCGTTTTGGTGTGCAATCATGTTTGTGATCATAGGAGAATTAATAATCGACTACTTCAGTCGTGGTTTAGAGCTGGGTGGTTTTTCATACTTCTCTGAATTAATGACTGCGCTAAGAATTTTTATAGTAATTAAACATCAAATATATTACAAACGCATTACATTATAAGCTAAAATGAGGTGGTAAAATATTCCACTTTTGCTTCACCCGTTTACTCATATGAATCCTGTGACATACCCACCAACGCCATAATCTAGAAGTTTCAATGCACTTAAAAAAGATTAGTGCATTTGTGTTTCGTTAAACCGTGACAGTGTATGCTTTGCGTAAAATACCTGTATTTCCATTTTTCTATAAAATCATCACACATTCGCTGACGTGCTTCCATGTTTCTTTTTTTTTTTCAGAGTAGCCTGATTAGAATTCAATTCGAATTTGTTTTAATCGGACTTTTGAGGAATATATTTATAATTAACCTCTCCAGCGAGGCTTTCTTTTATACCAGCATACGGCTCTGACGTCGGGCCTCTCTGGTGGTGATGCTATTTGCAGGACATATGCACAAACACTTCACTTCACGCGAATCTGGTTAATGCGCATGGGTGGTGCCGGCACCTCGTGTGGATTTGCTTGTAAAAGCGCGTTGGTAGATACACATTGTCTACGTCACCGCGTACACAACGCAGATCCCTCGCACAGTGAAATAACCCAGGCTGTGTAGCGCGGCTTCGTTAGCACAAATGAAAAATAAATAAAAAAATAAAATAAACGTCAGGCAACAAATTAATTTGATTAGGCCTTCAGTACATGAATTATTAGAAGTTTTCGTGCAGAGCAAATCAACTTTCATCAAAGTACCAACCACTCAAAATAATCTGAAAAAAATAAAAAATAATGACTGCCTCGTATCTGCCAAACAGTTTTCTCTGTGCCTTTGTGCAGAAGTGCTCTTCTGCTAGCGCGACCTTTCTAATAATGCCCGCCGCAAAAACAAAATCGAATTTTTCCCCACCTGGATTTCGCTGGAAAACATATTGAAGGCAAACGTGTGGAGCTTGAGCCCCATATTTGCCGTACAGTTCATCCTGTGATCAACTGTTGGCTCTGACGCGCTCGTGATTGTGAAGCTTGGGGTCAAAATGCTCTCGATTTGCGCTCGAACCGTGGTGAATCCTCTCCGCCGCATGGGAAAAATAGTGAGCGAAATAAATCCCTTCAAACGGTAAGTCAGACACCTCTGCAGATTCATGCCTCTAAATTTAGTGCTAACGACATAAACAACTTGTAGACGGGTAGTGAGCGGGGCTAGTTAATATCAAGACATGCGGAGCATATCTTCATACGTGTTTATCCTCGTCCTTTGTGTGCCCTGGTATGTTTGATATTATATAAAAATATATACTTCGAATATGAGTTTCGATTGTTTTGTCGGCAGACACGAAAAGCTGAACTCTCGTAATTTGGCAAAATGCGCAATCCACAGTCTACACTGGGCGTTTTAGAAAACGCGCAATGTAGACTGAAAACACCGGTGAATACTAAGATTATAACATTTTTTTTATCAAAATGAATGCCCTCACGGTGTCATTTTGATATTAGAAATGTGAGCGAAGTTCTTGATTAACTGCACGTAAATTGAAGAGCTTTAGTTCGCCGCGTAAATGGGTTGTACTTCCAGATGGTCTCTGGGGCATCAGTGCGGTTCCATCGATGTAAAAACCGTGCTTAGTCCACGTTAAGTATATAGAAATCATGTTTATTCATTAAGGTGTTTTCATTTGTTAGGAAAGTTTATCTTTCCAGAGTTGCGTCAGCACTTTTTTTTTTAGCTTTCTATGTTTGTGTCGGCGGGGCCAGAGCGGCCGCAATGCGGGAGCGGTTCCCCCGCGGTTGTTAAGAAGCGTCTCGGGTTTCGGGAGTCTGCTCGGACCGAAACCGGGAGAGCCCGCGCTTGGAGATGCTTGTGGCTTTTAACCGAATGTGCCTGTATATAGAGCGTTTTGCGGCTTAGTGTAAAATTGTCGCTTTTTCCCGATGTAATAATTTAGCGGTTCGCGCCAGCCAGACGAGGAAAATTGCAGAGATCGACTCTACAAGGAATTTGAATTGGGCGGTTGAAGCGCCAGGCTGACAGCTCGCTGACCATTGGAGAACAGCGTACCACGTGTGAGTGGTGGAATTTGAAAAGATTGGTCGGTTCTTAAAGGACACATGCAAAGGAAAAAAACATTTTTTTTAGACAGCTTAGATGGAAAAAGGATGTCATAAAACGATTTTACAACGAAGAAACAAAATTTTTAGAGCTATATTTACGGCGCTATACGAATTTGTAGTTGGCGCTTGCGGGAGCCGCCGCTGGTCACGTGGTAGGCCCACGCGCCGCCGCGCTGCGTCGCCGCCCCGCGGTGAGCGTTGTGCGAACGCCGCTTCAACGCGTTTCTCCACGCCGCCGTCGCCGCCGCCGCACAAGTTCGTCTGCTTCGGGGCGCCGCCGCCGTCGTCTGACCGGCGCACAGGTCTATCACGTCTGCTTGCGCTTTTTCAGGAGTTTCCTTTGGGCTCTAAAAGTTACTTATTCGTCTTGGTTTTTTGTTATACTTCAAACAAAGATGAATAAGTTACTTTTAGAGGCCATAGGAAGCTTCCAAAAGCGCGCAAGCACCAGGTGATAAATAAAGACCAGTCACGTGATAAATACGGACCACTTTTCCGCGGTGCCCGCGGGCGCGAACTACAAATTCGTTTTGCGCCGTAAATATAGCTCTAAAAATTTTTTTTCTTCGTTGTAAAATTGTTTTATGGCGTCCTTTTTCCATCTAAGCCGTTTAAAAAAATTTTTTTTTTCCTTTGCATGTGTCCTTTAAGGGAAAGGAGGCTCCTACGGGTCAACGAAAGGGGTGCGGAGAGGAATTTGGAAAATTGGGACTTTGGATTTGATGGAGAGAAATTGGGGACGGGGGTCGAGACTTTAGACGAGGCAAGATGGTCTCCCAAGTTGGAACTTGTAACTAGTGTAAATAAATGCACATAGTTCTCTACAAGCAGTAAGTCAACCCGTCACTCAGCGACGTTCGTGCCACCACGCTCCACACCATCGGAGCGGAACCATGCCTCCCACACCACCGGGAGGACCAACAACTTTAACTGTCTACTAGTTCTTTCACTTCCTATTAAGTTACTATGGAAGCACGTTACACGACGTCGGTAGTTTCCGCCATTGTGCAGTGGTTCCGACCGTCTAGTAGTCGGCACGTGACTTTGGAAAACGGTCTATTGCTAGCACTGATAAATGTCGTCCCATAGAAATTTGTGGGCCAACGACCCAGGTAACAATTTATGTTGTGGAGACAGTCGGCGCAACAAAGTTTCGCAACAAAAAACAGTTTTACTGCAATCGCGCAACAATGTTGTAGCAACAGTCATAACACTGCAGAAGTGTCCGCTGCTAAAGCACTGCGGCAACTGTGTCGGTCAACCGTTGATTGTTTCATGCTCGCAACAGTAACCGAAGCATTGCTTTTACCCAGCAAAATGTGTACTGTCCTGATGTTGCTAAACTGTTCGCGTGGCGGGTTCAAAAACAGTTTGCGTTTACACTGCCAGAATGCAGTCGCCAAACATTGCTTTCCAAAAGTGTTACAACCGTACGACACAACAGTTTCGCGCTAGGTTGGAATAGATTGTCGAGGAATTGTTGCGAAAACACTGGGCACCATTGTTGGTTGACTGTTGCTCAAACCTATTTGGCAGACGTTGCGTGCCACAACGGGACTGTAGCTGAACATCATTTTTTGCCAACTGTTGCCGCATGCATCTTCTCAACATTTGCACTGCATGATCAGGCAGCGCTCCTCGCGACAGTGCTTCCCCATGATCGGGGCAACAATGTCTTGCTTTTGTTGCTAGAGTCTGTCATGCCACAGCTGCGTGGCATAGTTTTGCGGGTGTTCCTCACTTGTCTCGCAACATTAGGAAACAGTCGAGCAGCCTTTTGGTAACTATTGCGGGCACCTTAGAGCGGAATAGTAGTACAGCCAAAGTTAATAGAACTCAGTATACTGCCATGGAACATTCCCCAGAGAAGTTCACCGATCTGTACGTTGAAACCTAACTATCGGCGATCCCAACGCTGCCATTTCTCCCACCGCAACCACTTAGGAAACAGCACAACTGTTTGAACTGGCTCAGAGTATCGCATTCGATAGCAGCTACGAGTACTCTTCCTTTTTGGCTTTCATCGGCATTATCGTAGCCGACACAGACTGGGTAACAGGGATCTGAAGGTTATCAACCCTCGTCTCCCCTGCAGACGTACCGTGAATGTATACACCAACTCATGTTTACAAACAAACCGGAGCGCCCCTAGTGGACGGCACCGGTGCCGCGCATGCGCGATGGGGGTGTGGGCAAGAAACTCGCCGTCGCCCATAAACAAACCATTGAAATCCGATGTTGTCGGCGTCGGTGTGAGTCGCCCTGCCCTTTTTCGCGTTCGCATTGTTGATTCTACGTCTTCCTGGCAAGGTCTGACTACTTCAGTGGCGTCAGCGAAATTACCGAGGCTCGTTACATCGCAAAACTTCGCGTGAATAATGTGACATGCGGCGATTCATTCCGCGTGGACGCCGCAGAATGTACGCTAAAGCCTGAGTCGCATGATGAGATTTCGCTCACAATTTTCAGTCCGGACGTCGGTCGGACTGCAAAAGCGTGAACCGTAGCTGAGATGGTCCACGTCGATGCTGAAAATCTCAAGCAGAATCGGACCAAGTGAATCAGGCATAACAAGTCGGTGATGGCCACTGGTAACAATTATCAATGCATCCTTGTATCTACTGTTTACATCGAGCCTGCTTACCAACCTTCAAATTTGAGTTTTTTGAGGCCTGCACTTACTTCTTATCGCAAGTACCGGGCCCCCGTTTGGTCTACGGGCCGGTGTCGTCTAAAAGAGCAGACGACAAGCAGAAACGTTTGAAAGAGCAGACGGCAGTTTAAACAGTCAAGCGGCCGTTTGAACTTGAAGACGCACTGAACGTAGTCCGCAGGTGGTCCGTACAACCTCGCGGTTTTCCGCCGTTCATGTTAGAACAAAACAAATACATTTGATGACCAGAAGTATCCGTGAATTCAATCCAAAGTGCTTCCCGCCCAAGCAATCGTGGTCGACGGCGTCTGGTTTTCCCTTTTCACGGCACATATCCACCTTCTCGGACGAACCGAGCACATGAAAACTGGCCTTCAAACCTTTCTCGACTCTTTTAGTACAAGCCCCAGTCGCGGCGTTTTGACGAGAAGGCATGTTTTTGTCAGGTTCCTTTCAAAACAACGCAGGAATACACGTCTCGCATGGGGACTTCTGCCCACAGCCCCAGACCGGAAGTGCGACCGACGCGCCACCACCGCGCCGTGACGTAACAGAGATGAGTTCGTGTATACAGAAGTCAGCACGCACCCTACTCTGGACGCGCTACCTCAAATCTCCGGTGAGTCGAGGTTGTATAAAAACAATAGTAATTATGCCGCAAGAGCTTGTAAACAAATGTTTTAAAAGCCATCCCGTGCCTGCCATTTTGTACCAATCTCCAATAAAGCTTCCTACAAAAAGAGTTTATTTCCGTTTGTTTTTATGCAAAGAAATAGCTTTCTTAAAACATGCCCGCCAAAGATGTTACTCTTTCTGTGAATGCTAGTAAAGGGCGCCACCGCCGCGTTTTTTTTTTTTTTTTGAGTTCTCCGGCCCCGAGCACCGCGGGGGGAAGGACGTAACCACCCATGTCCGCCCTCCGCCATCTGTTTACCGCCCTCCCCCGAGGAGCCAACACGGAGAATGGATTAGGAGACGCCTCCGTTAATCCGGCTTAACCCGCCGAAAAGGGGGCCTGCTGCTTGACTAAAAATTATTTCCCTGCTCAAAAAATTAGAAAAAAAAAATTAAAAAAGCGCCGCGGGCAGCGACCGAATGCGCTTTGCCGGATGCGCAACGTTCCGTCCGCCTTGAACAAGCTTTCATGCATTGGACTAGCATTTTTCGAAGCGCGGCAGGTTTAGTGTAGGTCCTATCATGTGGTCCTGCAAGACCTCCCGGTCCGCCAAAAGCTAGCCAATAATTGAAGGACATAACGACGGCAGCGTATTCAAACAGTGTAAAATAAAATGTATATAATATTTATAAGAACACCATTGTCTTCACTGCTTGACTTTCAAATTTTTAGTACTACA